CATTCTCCAGTAAGCCAAGACCACGTGGAAATACATAGATTTATAAAAATGAGTTAATAATTAAGACAGAACTAACCATTAAGAAGCCCTAGCTTTTGGTCAACAGTTTTATAATTAATGTAAGTCTCTGTGTTTTTATTTGGGGATAAAGTGGACATACGGGACCACACTGGAAAGAAAAACTCTAGCAACAAAATGGTGCCCACACTCGAAGCAAGATTTTCCACGTAAAACCTGACAAAAGTTTTAAAAGGAATTCTAAACAAAAGAACAGAGGCAAGCACAGCTTCTTGGTAGCAGCATTTTCTCTGGTGGGCTCTGTTAGAGACAAGCAGAGGCTCGCAACTCCTTTAAGAGAGTCTTCCTGGCTCACAGTAAGCAGCAAAAACTGCTGAGCTCTTTTAAGAGGCCCTGCTACCAAATAATTAAATGGTGTGTACGAGCAGCTGGAAGCAACAGTGACCATATCTCCAAGCCGCACAGAATGATGCATGGCAGATTTAGCTTTTACTCATGCAGACAAAAAAGGTTTAAGACTCAAGGTGGTGAGCACAGATCGCAGTGCTTGCGGTAAGCATACCCCACCATATTGGAAAGCCAGCAGTTAAAACATCCACTTTAATTTTAGCCATGCTGTTTAGCAGATAAAAGACTTGTGGCCAGAAAAAAATAGAGACTACAGTGAAGACAGATTCATATGAAGAAAAACCTCCAGAGGATTTACAATGTGTTTAAAAATATATAGGCTTGGGAGAGAAAAGAAAAAGGATAAAGTGGTTAAAAACTAATGAGAGTAGCTGGGTGTTGTGGCACATGCCAACACTGCATTAGAAAGGCAGAGGCAAGCAGATCTCTGATTTCAAGCCAGTCTAGTGTACAGAGAGAGTTAATGGGAGGCCAAAGTTATACAAAAAACAAAACAAAAAGTAAAAGAAATAGAGTAATAAAAAAAGTTATGTAAAGATGGAAAGTACACAGAGAGTCTGGATACTGTATGTTACTGTGTTGTCTTTTAATTGTTTAATTGCTGAGGGAGGAGCAACAACTGCTAAAAGACATTTGATTATCAGTGCTGCTGAATTAATAACCCAATTTATATATTTTGAAAATGTTTTGACTTCAAAATTGGAGTCTAAGGACAAGTTACTTTGGAAAAGAATTTCTGTTTTTCCACAGAAGGTAAAAAGCTGTGGATTCCTTCCAGAATAATATGGTTTGATTAAAAAAAGAAAAAGCCCTGAAGCAGTGGCCCAGGTGATCCAACATCCAAAACAGCTGGGACAAGGCAGCCTTGAAGACTATTAGAGCCAGGATTTGGCCAGTGTTCTGGGTTTTCTAAGGATCCCCATGGTATTGACAGCATCCCCAAACAGCAAGAAGAAGTTTGGAGAGAATGATGCCCAAATTCCCAAATATTGTTTATAATTTTTTTTTTTGGTTTTTCAAAGACAGGGTTTCTTGTGGCTTTGGAGGCTGTCCTGGAACTAGCTCTTGTAGACCAGGCTGGTCTCAAACTCACAGAGATCCACCTCCCTCTGCCTCCCAAGTGCTGGGATTAAAGGTGTGCGCCACCAATGCCCAGCTTGTTTATATTTTTTCCATTTAAGTGGGGTTGGTTATAAATGGTTAATGATCACAACCAATCTCTTTCTAAAGGTAAAAAAGGGAATTTGATATAGAAGTGAACACTTTGCATTGGTATGGATTTTGATTTATTGATACAAATTTAAGGTCCACTTTGTTACAGGTATATTTTTCCTCTTGTTTAGGTATTCTGTTTGTAAAGGTCATTTAAAAATGTGATGTGTAATTAAATACAGATTATATATTGTCATCTATAATAGTAAAAACTTATATATATTAGTTAGGTTTTCTAGATATACAGAGATATATATGAGATGTTAGTCATCAAACTTTCAAAGACCATCAGAATATGACATTTAAAGTGGTTTAGGGTTTTCCATGACAGTGAGACACATTTGCTCCTGGCAACATCAATTATGTCAGAAAGGAGGATGGGCATCGAAGAATCTCGATATGGAGTTGCTTTCAATATGACTAAACTAGTCATTTGGACAAGAAACTGCTCTTGCCTGGACTATTTGACTGTATGCTGTCCAAACTGGACATACAGGACCCACAGGAAAGTGACTGCTAAATTTGCTAAAGTAAGATGAGACAGTCCTTCAGGGTTCCTGCTTCATGGAAGAGTATGCCAGACACTGTGCAGGACACAGAGAAAAAATGATTGACAAACTGCCAATGGAGGTAGACAGTTTAAAATTTCCTGTTTCACTGAGAAGTCTGCCAGACATCCTAGGCCTGTAGGCTGAAGATGGATGCCCCAACATTACAGAGGAACTGTAATGAAGACAGTTATGGTTACGGTTTTCCTCAGTTACGATAACAGATAAGTTACACGTAAAACTGTAGACTCACAAAGACATAGGATATTTTTGATAAATTTTGCCAAATGTTAATGGACTAAATATTGTTAACTAGTTCTTACTTGATAGCTGATTTGTTATATATATTTTACTATGTTAAAGTTAAGACCCTTTTTATTTAGACAGAAAAAAGATGATGGGGGATGTCCCTCTGTATATGTGTTTCTCTTATTGGTTGATGAATGAAACACTGGCCAATGGAGGCAGGAAGATAGGCCGGGCTAGGAGACGATACTAATTCTGGGGAGAGAGGCAGAGAGAGATGCCGTGTAGCCAGGGAAAGAGTAACAGGTTCAGACCTTTCTCTGGTAAGATAAGACCACGTGGAAATACTTAGATTAATAGAAATTGGTTAATAATTAAGAAAGGGCTAGTCAATAAGAAGCCCTAGCCATTGGTAAACAGTTTAATAATATAGCGTCTGTGTGTTTATTTGGGGCTGAGGGCGGTGGGGCCTGGTGGGACAGAAACTCCAGCAGCAGGTTCTCTTTCCACTGTGTGGATCCCAAGGACAGAAGCATAGTTTGATGTATCCCATTGATTACAGAGTGAATTTCTTTTTAAGCAGAACTATTCAAAATAAATAAAATAAAAACCCTTGGCTATTCCCTTATTCTGCCTATCAGACCCTGTGACTTCTTCAGGGTAGGAACCAGATCAAGTCTCACAGACCATTTCTGTGACCAAATGCACAGAGAGCAGACAGAGAACAGTCTATGGTGGTCTGTATGTTAGTAGTGACACAGACAGAAAGACACACACACACACACACACACACACACACACACACACCCCACCATGCTAAGGAAAACATCCTGTGGTTAGGACTGATGGACTCTCTTCCGTTTTCAATAATAGAAGCTTGCTTGCATCTTTTCTTTTTTTCTTGGTTAACCAGTAGAGAGGGTGGCTTTATCTTTTTAGAGCATCCAAATTTCTCCATCACTTTCCTGTTTTCAGTGTCACTGCTTTTTGCTCTATTGTTTTTGTTTTTGTCTTTTGCTTGCTTTGGGATTAAATTCTGGTTGGTTGGTTTTGTTGTTTTTGTTTCTTTGTAGACAGGATTTATGTAGCCTGGGCTGCTCTCAAATAAATTTTATCCCCTGAATGCTGAGATAAACTGTGCCACCATGTCCAGTTTGTGTCATAGTGGGGATCAAACTCCTGGTGGCTCTGTGCGTACTAAGCAAGGATTACATCATCAGTACTCTCCCGTCCCCTGTCCCCCTCCATACTCTCCCACCTGCCCTCCTCCTTCCCAAGCACATGGTAGGACTGCAGGCCACGGTACTGACCAGGCCTGTTTTCTTACATGGGCTGTTCAGTGTTGCAGATCCATCCCCCCACCTGTTTTTTTCTCAATAAACCATATTTTCATCCAGTTTAAAATATTAAGGGTTTTTTTTTGAGACTTCTTTGACCCATGTGCTATTTAGTAATATACTGGGCTTTTTTTTTTTTTTTGGTGTTTTTTTGAGATGGTGAGCCTAGAGTAGAATGAACCCAAAAAAGCATCCCCCTGCCTCTGCTTGCAAGTAGCTGGGTCTAGAGGCTTAGAAATATAGTGTGGGACTGTCAACTATTTAGAGGATTCCCAGTTTAGAGTTATGTTATTCCTGGTTTGATTTCACTGTAGTCTAAGAGCATATGTCTGCTTTCAGATAGGGTCTTGCTAATAGCCCAAGCTGGCCTCCAGCTCACAATCCTGGTGTTTCTGCTTCTTCAGTGCTGGGATGGGAGGCGTGTGCCACCATGCCAGATCCTGAGGGCTATTTTGTAGGACTTTTCTTTTTAAGCTTGTTAAGGGTGTTTTTCTATCTAGAATGTGACTTCAGTGAAGGTTTTTCCCTGAGTTTGGGAATAGTGTTTCCTCGGGCTTGTCAGATGGGTGCTCTGCAATGTCAACAGTTTGGAGTGACTAATGACACTGACTGGGTTGTCCTTGGCCGTGTGCATTTTCTGTTTGATGGATCAATCACTGTTAAGCGGCGCTAGAGTATGCAGCTCTAACAGACCCACCCTTTTTGTGTTTTCATTAAGTGGATTTCTGTTCTCTCGGGTATTTTGCCTCCCTGCTGATCAGCTTGATCCTGTTAATGACTGTGAGGTCTTTTTGGAGAATAGACTACGATTGTTTTGCTCCCCTTTGCCCCTGATTGTTTCCTTTGCACCCAGTGGGCTCTGCAACTAGAAGCTGGGATCTTGCCCTCAAGTCTCCCATCCTGGGCGGCCGAGGGACATCTTCAGCCTCTGAGGATGCCGTACACGAGGTGCTGGATCCACAGAACAGCAGTCAGGAACTGGCAACGAAGGGTCACGTATCCAGTCCGAAACGAAGCCCTCCATCACACAGTTTAGTCATGAACCTCACAAAACTGTCTTTTGCTGTTCCGCGGAAGTCTTCACACTCGGCAACAGAGCTTGCACCTTGGCTATAGCGTCTAATATCGTTTTTTCTATTTTCAATAGACTTTGTCTTTGCACAAGCATGTCCTCTGATCTAGCATCTCGGGCAAACTGTGGGTCAACCCAGAGTACCCCTGGAACTGGAGCCGAGATCAGAGAAGTCCCGGGGCAGCTACGAAGCCGGGATCCTCGCGCCCCAACCGCTACCGTTAAGGATTCTGATCCGTTACCAAACCGCCACCCAGACAAGAACTGCAATTTGAACTTCTACCAGAAATCAGAAGAAGGTAAAGGTAGCCTAAAAGCCACACCCAAATTACCCGCTTGCCGTCCAGGATGCCAAGTCGACAGCGGTCAGGGGGACCTGGCTCCTCCCACCTAGACACTCACTGATTCCTTTATTTTCAGGACATCAGGACAGCTTCACTGCCTGCAGGGGTGACTGAGATCCTAAGTCCAGAGCTTTGCGGAGTTGCCACTCCGGAGAGTAAACCTGGCAATGGTTCGGCCAGCAGCAGTGTGAATCACACTTGCAGTAAGTCGGTGTTCTTCCCCTGAACTGTTCACTCCGGGACTTGTGCATGCCTGCACGTGTGTCCACCCGTGTGCTTGTCACATGTGTGTGTATGCCAGAGGTCATGCTTGAGTGCTGTTTCTTGGGAGCTATCCATCTTGTTGAGGCAGTCTCCCACAAGGGCCTGGAAGTCACCAATAAGGATAGGCAGACAGGCCACCAAGCCTTGGGGGTTGTTCTGTCTCTGCCTCTTAAGCACTGGGCTTACAAGCCTGTGTGTTACCAGGCCTGACTTTTTATGTGCATTCTGGGAGTCAAACTCAAGTCCTCAATTTGCCGACTGAACTGTCTCCATCCTGCTGGTCAGAGCTTTTAAGAACTCAGCAAGTGTCTTTCAAGTTCATAAATAATTGTATGAGTAAGTATACGTGTAGATGTGTATGGATGAGTGAGTGTGTATGTGTGTATGAGTATGTGTGAGTGAATGGGTGTGTGAATATGTGTGTGAGTGTATGTGTATGAGTGAGTGTATAAATGTGAGAGTGTGTATGAGTGAGTATGTGTGTGTGTGTGTCTGTGTCTGTGTCTGTGTGTCTGTGTGGCACATGTGTACCAGAATCACAGACACACCTGGCTTTCTCCATGGGTGTCAGGGATCCATACGCAGACCCTCATGCTACTGAAACAAGCGTTTTACTGAGTGAACCATCTCCAGCTCTCCTCATGCCCAGCCTTGAATTTTGGTTGTTTCTGAGACAAGGTCTTGCTATGTAGCCCAGGCTGGCCTGTGATTCCTTAGTACATAGCGGTAAAGACAGCCCTTAATGTCATGTCTCTTACCTCTATAAGTGCCAGCTTTATTCTTCCTTTTTTAATTAAAATTTTTTAATTTAATTTTTTGTTTTGTTTTCCAAGGCAGGGTTTCTCTGTGTAGCCCTGGCTGTGAAGTCCCAGTTACAGCTAGAGCAAGAAGGTTATCTGAGTGTGCTCTTATGATCTGAATGCTCCTCTTCACACCCTCCCATACCTACCTACTCACATCTCTCTGTCACAAACACTGACTCATAAAAATTATAGCCAGGCACACACCTATAATTCCAGCACGTGAGAAGTAAAGGGAGGAGGGTCAGGAGTTCAAAACTAGTTTCAGCTACATAATGAGCTTTGGCCGAGACTGGGTTACACAAGACCCTGACTCAAAAAATAAATTATTTGGCTGGGTCACACCAGTTAATCCCAGTACTCAGAGGCAGAAGCAGGTAGATTTCCATGGATTTGAAACCAGCCTGATCTGCACAGTGAGTTCCAGAACAGTCAAGGGTATATTACATACAACAAGACCCTATTTCAAATATTATTAGTTGACAATAATATTTAACCAAAACTCCAAATGAATGTTATTCAAGATAATTCTTTCAGGAAGGGAGTTCTTTTTTTCTTGGAATGTGTCTCTGATAGTGTTAATTATCTATCTGATAACTTTATAATCATAGGTCATTCACTGATCCCAGTTTCAAAGGGGGAAATCTATGTGTTTGCTGGCCTCCCAAATATTATGCATTTGATCCCTAAAAAAAATCTGCAAGCAGCATGGATGCTGGACCATCCTTAGCAGCTTCAGAAACTCAGCCTTTTTCTCCCTGACTCCTCCTGAAAGATCAGTGACTAGAGGAACCCCTGGCCTACCTCTAAGGCCTCAAGCCAGAGCAAAGAAATACGTTGACCAGCTCCCATGAGAGCAAAGAAATACGTCGACCAACTCCCACGCCACCAGTCTTGAGATTAGCAGACTTGGCAATGGCTTTGCCGGATGGTCCCCCAGGTCCCAGGGGCTTGACAGTGTCAGGAAGAGAAGGCAGAGATGACAGAGTTGGGGGTGGGAGGACAAACATTCCATGGACTTGGTGGTGCCTGGCTAAAGCTAACCAGCATGAGAAAATAATCGATAGTGAGTGCTTCCAATGCTGGCTGTCCTTGAATGCAGAAAGCTGAGCAACCCTGGTCCAAGAGAGGTGACACGTGCTGTCTCCACTCCCCAATGAGCACACGAGAAGAAAGGTGGCATTGGCCTTGAGCTGCTCGGAGCACCCAGAAGGGCCTCGAGCAGACAGACCTTCCTGCTCCTTGCCCTCCTCGGTCCCTGCCAGGCAAGTGGTACTGCAGCTCCTGAAAAGACCCAAACCCCCATCTTGCTGCTTGCCTCCTGTCTTGCTGTCTGCTGCTGGTTGTCTTATTTTACAGCATCCCCTCTCTTTTCCACAGAGACAGATCGAAACCTGAGCCCGGAAGGCGAGGGAATGATCCAGCATGACAGGGTGCATGACCAGGAGATGGCCAATCCTCCAGGCCACGGAGATTCAGACGGAAAGATTCCAGAGACCCATAGGTTAGGATGCTTGGAGCTTGCAATGCAGGGGCTCTCAGCACCAGCCAGATGCAGGTGCCAACAAAGTACCCAGCCGGACCCTGGAGCTCTGTGTCCTCTCTACCCCAAGCTTCAGTGAGGACCTGACGTCTCCAAGCGTGCCAATCTTCACTTCGTGTTGGTCTTCAAAGTCATTAAGATTTCTCTTGGAAACCTTGATGCAGCGATTTCTTCCTTTGCAGTTGAACCTGAACTGCCTAAAGAAGCTAAGATTGGGCCCCTGGTGGTCTTGGCCGGTTCTTAGAGATGAGGCTGGAGCAAAGTCCTTGGGCAGAACCACTAGCCAGCACAGGTGTGTGCTGCCCGATGGGGATGGATTTCCTTTTGGACATATCTCGAAGCTAGTTTGCCTGTTGCTCTGACACTTGTGCTACCATGTGGGTGGAGGGAGAGGCCACAGGGATGGCTGATTGTAGCTGTGCTGGTCAGGGAGACCTCACAGCTATGCTCCATGCAGCCACCCAGGCCCTGCTAGCCTGAATGAATGTTTCATCAAGGCTGGCTGTCCCACAAGAAGGGGATTCCTGTTGTAACATGTGTTGGTGGGAAGGCTGCTGTTCATAGGGGACATGGCGGGAGACGATGGAGGGGAGGGATGTCTTATTTCTGTCAGGCTGGCTTGGAGCTGGTGGGCACAACGTCATGCTGCTGTCCTCCTTTCCATCTCCTTGTCCTCGGGATCTGTGTTGCTCCCCTGAGGATTATTTATAAGAGGAATAATGAAAGGTGGGTGGCAGGCTGCTGGGACCCACATCCCTTGAGGTTAGCAGACAGCTGAAGTTGTGCGTGGCTGGCTCGGGGAGGCATGCTGTTGTTGGTATCACCTGAGGGCCGCATCTTCAGGTACCAGGGTAGCTGTCCAGCTCAGAGTTAAAAAGAGCACAGGAGAAGACATAGGAGGCCATTGTCTTGTTGAATTTCCAGCCCATTAAGAAGTCCTGTCCATAACCTTGAAGACAGGAGGAGACCCCCACATACGGCTTAAGTTCCTCATCTCGGTGGCCCACATTTATCAATGAGTCCATCTCAGTGTTCTTCTCCCTGGGACTGAGAATGAACGAGTTGGTCTTTGAATGTATTCTTCTCTCACCATAGCCACATAGGATGAATGTCTCCTGCTCAGCGCCTTTCTGGCAGTTCCCTGAACCTCTGTAGGTCAAAAAACAGGAGCACACCTACCGGAGCATGTAAGTCCCAAGCTCAGCGCAGCTACTTTAGAATGCCAAACTACCCCAGAAAGCATCCAGCTTGTTGTAAAAGACAGATTGGCTGTTGCAGCCACAGTTTGCAATCTTGATGTTCGTGCCAGCATCAGAGGGCTTGTCTCCCTTTAAGTCTGTAAGGACAATGCACTTCTGGTGGCAGCATGCACATTAGACACTATTTGTTGGAATTTGCTTCAGGCCTCTGTTTTCTCTCCCACTGCTATGAGGCACTAGGTATCCAAATACTTCCATTCCACTAGAAAGTTTCATAACAAGGCTGTTTTTCCAGTGTCTGTCACTTCAGATATTCCACTCTGTTGGAATTATTGGAGTCTTCATGCATCCTTACTTCACGGGGTGTTCTCGGAACGGTGAGGTGTTCCTGGCCCGGAGGATGGATGCACTCACTGTGTTGACTTTACCTCAGCCGGGTTATCTTTGCTGAGGATCTTCAGAAGCATAGCTGTCCGTGTGGTCTGTCTTCAGCAGATATGACTCATGGGCCCTGCAGCTTGCTGGACTTCATGATGGGCTTCAGAGTCAAGATACTTCAGAGCTATCTTAGATTTGAGAGAAGTATGCACTTGTTTCAAGTCACCTCAGGAGAAAACCCAAAGTCCTCCTGATGATTTATCTTTAGAGTGGAAATAAAACACAGCACTGGATTAATAGTAAATTAAAGAATATTTACTTTTTCAAAGGAAAAAGTGATTAAAAGAGAAATTAAAAAGAAGAAAACTAGGAAGAGCTAAGAGACTAGTCCCAACCAGGGATTCACAGGTGCTTGGGATTGTAAAATGATGGCTTCATACAAGGTCACAGGAAAAGTGGCCCGAACCAATCGTAGAGTTCTCAAATAGCCCCCTTTTCTCTCAAGAAAAGTATCTATAGCCTGACAGAGCTTTTGTTTTTATGTGGGTTCTGATTACCAATGTTTATCCTATTAGAAGTGACAACCTGTAGGAATCCAGTGTCCTTCTCATTCCAAGCTTGCTTGGCTTTTCTTGAACTTCCGAGCAGCTGCACTTAAAAGGATGGCTTTCAAAGTGATGCCACAACTTAACTAGCCTTGCAACAAAGTGACATGATAAGTTACTTTAGTATCAGGCTAAGCAGAGAGGGGATGACCACAGCCCGCCCAGTTTCTTTGGAGTAGATTCCTTCTTCCCGAGAGCTTCAGAACCCCCTGGGTTAGTATCAGCATCTTGAAATGAAGCTAGGTACAAAGGAGTAGACCTGTAGGCCCAGCTACTCAGACTCTGAAGCAGGAGGATCACTTGAGCCCCAGAGCTCACAGCTAGTCTTGGCAACATGGTAAGACCGTGTGTCTATAGTCAGTAGAAAGGGCATCCGTGAATTGAGAAAACACATCGTCTTTTTCTTCCTTCCACTCCACAGTGTGTTTTGTTCCAAGTGTCTCTCACTCAGCTCAGTGTGGCATAGTGCATCCAAGTGCTGAACCCATCCCCAAGGACCTCCCCCCAGCTTGGTTATCCTTGCCATACAGAAAAGTACCAACTGTCAGTACAGAGTTTGGTGACTACTCCTAAATTGACTCAGCTATTTAACTAGCATCTGGGTCAAGTGTGATACTACTATATGGTGTCCCAAGATCTCTTTTTCCAGGCACTCTCTCTGCAGTGGGTTCTCTCTTCCCACAGCATTGATTAGTCTAGCCCGTTTTCATCAGTAGGCATGTAGACTCACAAATTGGATCTTGTGTTAGCTCATTTGTTCAGTATTTGGTGAGGTCTACCTATTGTTTATTATTCTAAACACCAATTGTGTGACTATAAATCTGTTTGTTGGCCATTTGAATCATTCTCAGTTTGTAAATGTTAAACATAGCTCTAGCCATTCTTATGCAGATTTGGGGGCCAAACCTGTCTTGCTGAATATGTAAATTTAGGAAGAAATTGCTGCTGTGTGAGTTATGAACACTTTAGTCTCAGTACAAATGAAAGTGGTTTGTGCTAAGTGACACAACCATCTGCATCCTGGGTCCTCTGTGATGGTTTTTAAAGCTCTGATGGCGTTTAAAAACTCCACCTTTCTGCAGTGTCCCAGCAGCACTTAGCCTTGTGGCTTGCGTTTCTCTGATGTCTAGTGATCGTGAAGAGCAGCTTTTCAAGGGCCTGTTGGTCATCCCCTCTTTTGAGAAGCACCAGTTCATGCCTGGCACTCGTTTCTCAGTCAAATGGCTCTCATTTTTCATGTTGACTTCTACTTCATCCTTTCTATATGTTATATCATGAGCAGGAGACACAAGGCTACTGCAGCCTTGAGGACTTCTTCAGATGAGCCAAGGAGTGTTTAGTATGGTTTAGCCACACTCAAGGGAAACGAGAATTCCTCATAGTCCAGGCAGGCCTTATGTTCCCTATCTCAGCCTCCTCCGCAGCTGAGGCCACCATTCCTGTGAGACAAAGCCAGATTGTTGACTTATACCCCAGAAATGAACTTCAGGATAAACGAATATGAACCCAAACTGATGTTTATTAGGAAAAGGGTTTTAATATAGATGTCAGTATGGACATTAAGAGAGGGGAGGAGAGACACAGAGGAAAAGGACAGTAAAACGCGCCCTGGAGTGGGTGCAGACTTCTAAACAGTCATGTGTATGTGTAACTGATGTGTGTGTGACCTTAGTGGCCTCCTAAGTTACACTGGCCAAAGAATGTAAAAGATTAGGTGGGAATGCTTTGGTATACTTATTACCTAAGCTAGTGATTCTCAACATGTGGGTCACAATTCCTCTGGCAAATCTCTATCTCCCCAAAAATGTTCACATTGCAATTCCTAACAGTAGCAAAATTATAGTTATAAAGTAGTGACAAGAATCACTTTATGGGTAGGGGTCATCATGACATGAGGAACTGAATTAAAGGGTCTCAGCATTAGGAAGGTTGAAAACTACTGATAGTTTTCTTTTAGAAATTAGGTTTACAGTGAGCTTTGGTTTTTTTTCTGGGAAAATTACTTCACTGTGCATATATGCAGGTTTACAGGCCGATTACGGTCAAGTTGGACATGGCAGCACACATACCTACCTGCAGTCTCAGGTAGAGGCAGGGGGATCCAGAGTTCAAGGTCATCCTCAGCTGCATATCAAGTTAGAGCTACCCTGGTCTACATGAATCTCTGTATCAACAAAACAACAAAAGCATCAAAGGAACCCTTTACTCTACATAGTACACATAGGTGACAAGGAAGTAGGGTGGTGTCTGACTGGGAGCGTGGTCCTACTCTTGTTTGTGAGATTCTCAGCAAACGGGGGGTGAGGCACTCCATTTCCTCCCTGTGTCCTCCACCTTTCTGGCCTCTGTCGGCTGTGAATTCTTCATTGGATATGGCCCTGCATGCATTTCCTCTCTTCCCTGCATTCTGCTGTTAATCTGCTGCGGCCTTCTGTCTCCCCCAAATCATCCCTTCCCATAGTGGGCTTCTTGTCACTTGAAAATGACAGGCACTTTCCCAGCTTGAATTCTATACTGGCTCCTGTTGCTGGTGGGGACAGACCTTCTCAGGTATCCACGTAGTTCTTCCCCCCAACTGTTACAGGTCTTCTCTCCCAGACGGAGTGCCTGGCACATGTTATCTACTGTCCCTGTCCATCAATTCTTTTCTCTTTTGGAGACAGGATCTTACTCTGTAACTAAGGTTGGTCTCAAAGGTGCATAACCCTCCTTCGACTTCCTGATTCCTAGAATCCCAGGCATGAGCCACCGTGCCCAGCTCTATCACTTTATTTTGAGACAGGGTCTCATGTAGCACAGGCTAGCCCTGAAGTCCCGATCCTTCTACCTCTGCTGCCACAAATAAATTGTAGGTGTGTGTGTCACCATGCCTTACTCCCATTTTCTTAAAAACATAATTTGTACTAAGACATATCCAACTTTGCATGATTATTTTAAGAATTAGAACATGTGTATGTTTTACTCCCTACAG